TTTCCCTACTAGTTGTGGTTGTTGTTGGTTGATTCAAGCTCAGAGAGTTGAGAATTGGAGACCTTGGAGGATAGATGTGAAGTTCTCAGAGGATCTCGACATTCTTCTTCCTTCTTCTCTTTCTCTTTAGATTCGAGATAAGGGAAACTAGAACTTTAGGTCTTATAACATTGTGGATCTGGATGTTGATTGATTTCATTTAGAAATGTTGTTGTGATTGTGTGATTTGAATTTAATGATTAAAGTTGGGGTTTATTGCTTATGAAGCATGTTTGAGTTGAAATTGTTGATCAAATTGGTGGTTGCATGTTGGATTTCTAGAGTGAAATGTGTTGTGGATGATGTATATGTATGTTATATTGCACTGCATATTGGAATTTTCTGGTTTTTAGGTGGTTTGAGCCAAATTTGTGATTTGTTAAGTACAAAACTCATCATCACGCCAAGTGTGCATTCATGATGTCAAGTGTGACTTAAATTAGAGGTATCTGTCTTGCTCACACTAAGTTAAGATTGGTGGCATCAGGTGTGAGGAGAGAGAAAAGTCTCTGACTTAGTTATGTTGGACGTGGTTGGAATGATGTCGAGCGTGAGGTGAAAAAGTTGTCTCTACATGAAATGGGATCGAACATGGGTTTTTCCACGCCAAACATGAGAGCCTAGGAGTTCTCTACCTCATTTATGTCAAGCATGAGTTGAATGGCACTGGACGTGGACGAGACATAAAGCTCATTGTCTAAATGGTGCTGAGCACAAGTCTTATGGCGCTAGGCATGGAATGCATTATGAAAAATTGTTGCTTGCTTGATTAAATGGTGAACATGGAATAGTTAGGTGGATCTATTTCATGTTGTATGTTGATAAGTGTTGATGGTTTTGTGTATATTGATTTGGGGTAATATATAGATTATTATAATTGTTGACTTGTTGAGGTGTTAATGTTGAGAATGCTATATGCGTTTAGACATGTTGATTGAGTTAGGTTTAAAGGAGAAAGTGTTTTCAAAAGTTGGATATCTCATAGTGTGGATATTGGTGTGGTGCTCTATGAGCTTAGTTGTTGAAAAACCCTCCTTTAGCATGCCTTATTATCTCTTGGAGTGAGGGTGTTTTAGGTCTTTAATTGATGTTTGAATAAGGTATGAAATCAAGGGCTAAAACCCTTAACTGATTATTAGAGAGGTATATGGTATCACGAGGATAGTTAGCAGGACAAATCCATGAGTAACTTGGTTAATGTATGCCAATGTCATGATAGACTCATATCTAAGTTATGTTAAACTTGATGGTGATACTGGACTTTTCTAGTTTAAGTGACAATATTTGAGAAATCATGTTGTAAGGATTGGTATCCCAATTTGACTATTGATCTAGCAAGTGTAAAAAGATTGGTTGGTTTGATAAGATTAAGTCACTTATACTACTCACCTTGGTTGTATGAGATTTTCGTAAGTGAATGTGTGACAACACATGTAGTTGAGGTGTATGCATATAATATGATGTTGTTCATATGCGTTGATGATTACATTGCTAAATGGCATGAATATGGTGAAATATGTAGTAAGTTGCTTATTTTGTAAGGTTGTTGAATGTCATGTTGAGATGTGTATTGGTTGCTATGTTGTAGACCATGAGGTGTCATGTGTATGTCTAGTATAGTGGTTTACTTCTATACTTATTTATGTTCATTTTTGTGAACACTAGCTTATTTTTACATGTTTTTCTAGTGGTTGAATTACAATATGCTTATATTTACATGGGAGTAAGGTAGGCATAGGATAAATGCCAATGTCTTTTGGAGCCATATTGTTGGCGTGTAACTTGGTGCTACCTTATGGAAAACTTGTTTCCATCACTACCTTTGGTTGTAGTTTTTGGTACAGTTACTTGATCGACAACCTAGGCTTATAAAGTTGTTTCCTTTAGATTATTGTACACACACATGCATATATAATATATATATATATATATATATATATATATATATATTATAGAGAGAGAGAGAGAGAGAAAGATCCGTTTACTCTAGGAGTAAGTTTACGTTTTTTTTTTGTAAAGAGTAAGTTTACGTTTAATAACTCATGTTTTACATCAAATTTCAACGATTTAACTGTTAAATTTAAAGTTCTTAATGTATAGATTAAGTTTGCAAATTTTTTAAAAATTTGAAAAATATTTTATACTTTGTTTCCTTAATTCAAATCAACATATAAAATGATTTTATGATTATCCATCAATTTGAATTAATAAAATGAAGTATCAAATAATTTTTAACTTTTTTAAAAATTTAAAGACTTGATATATGTATTAAGAACTTTAAAATCAACAGTTAAATCATTAAAATTTGATATAGAATATGAGTTATTGAATAAATAAATTTAGATAAATTATTTACTCTTAAAATAAACAAATATATTCTTTTATATATATATATATATATATATATATATATATTCTTGTTTATTTTAGTAATTGATACAACTTTTGCTCATATATATATATATATTATTATTATTACTTGCATATCCAAGATTGTTTCTAGGTTAATTGTGGGTAGTTGATATTTTCTATTACTTATAGTTGATCAGTTAAGCATAAAAACTATGTCGGATCACTACATTTATACCCAAAAGAATTTAATAGCAAATATGTGTAAAGTTATTATAGAACCATCATAAAGGCAATGAGACCTTTAAATAATGATTTAACAATGTATAAAAGTGATCTGATCGAATTAGGCTTTGGCTGTGGCTTTTTTTTTCCTTCCCTTCATTGATTACTTCTATTACATTTAACTAAAAAATCTTAATTATTCGTGCATTATATATAAACCTTTTTTTTCCAAGTAGTATTAAGGGTGCATTTGACAACAAATTGAATGGATTTGTAAGTTAAACCAGCTTATAAGTTGGTCAAATTATTCAACTGATTTATAAGTTATTTTAATAAGAATAAATTTACTTTGTATATGAGTTTATTTTTAATATGTTTTTTTATAAGTTATTTTAATTAGTTTATGAAAATAAATTAACTTATAAGTCATTATTTTTCTTTTATTATTATTATTTTTTACTTTAAATAACTAAATAAGTTTTTTATATTTATCAACTAACTTATTAATTAATTCTATCAAATAATTTCAAGTCAAAAAGCATTCTTAAAACTTATGAACTTCAATTAACTTGCAAGTCTCAACTAACCTATACACCATCTTTTTTCAAACACACCCTATGTAAAGCTTTTATGAATTTATGGTACTCATCTTTCATTTTTTTTTCTTTTCATTACGTAGCAATTCAACCCTTTCTTGGGTTTATGGTATTGTATTAGGATCCCACTTAGATGAAGGGGTAAAGGTGTTTGTCTTTTTTGTTGCTTTGGTTTTTATTTTCTCCCCTTTCATTGCAGCCAAGGAAATTACCACAAAAGTCAACTCAAACTGTTTTCTAGCTTAGCCTTTGGGTCAGGGCTGCTTAACAAGATTAAGACTTCAACAACTGAATGTCGAATATTCAAACAAATACAATATTTTCTGTTTCATGACTTTATGTTAATAACAAAATTATTAATGAATTGGAATTTCTCAACGTATTTATAAATCATTGTGTATTCTATACGTATTTATTAAAA